CCTTGCTCAGCCGATGCGTTAACTGCCCCAGGCGTATATATACGTCCTTCCAAACTGCTATAATTTGCTTTGCGCTGCTACACCTAAAATTATTCGCAAAGTTAACGCATCGGCGGCGCATCTGGGGCAGAACGCATCGGCTGAGCAAGGCGTATATATACGCCCGCAGCAGTTAAGGGGTTAATTCTGTAGACAGACATAATCTCTTGTTCAATTACACTGTTGAAGTCCTGCAACTGCTATGTCGAGAATTCCGACTAACTTTTCAATCAAAATTTTCTCGTTTTCAGTAACTTCTCTGTCCCTTTCTTCACTATCGGTAGCGGTATTTTCTGGATCTAGAACCATACTACAGATTTCACCATTCATTAATTGATTGATGATTGAGAAGCACTGTCATCACAATGAAAAACTTCTTTTATATCATCTTCATTTATTACCGCTTCTCCACATTTCTTTACAAAATCTGTTAATTGGAAAATTTCACCTTTGTTTTGCGATATCTGAAAGCCTTTAAAATTAGCAGCTATCATCATCAAATTTAGCTATCCTTCATTATATATATTTGGCTATGCATCATGAGCTTGGCGACTAACGACAAATTGTTCCGTTGCTTCCTTTACTCACTGAGACAATTAAGCCTGAATTGTATTAGTTTAGTTATTTATTATACTTATGTCTATTTCTTGGACTTGCTTAAGACTTATCAGAGTTCTGAATAAATAAATTCTCACATATAATCATGGTTATTGAGGGTAAAGTATATGTGAGACAATCAGTTATTCTTAATTCAAATAGCCCTAAATGTAATCTTTGGATGTATGAGTACCATCAATAAAATCTATTTTTAGCATACGAAAAGAAATTTTTGGTAAATTTTCCCTCGTCAACATTTTTTTAGTGCATTTAACTTAAATCTGTAATCATCACCAAGCGTAATGTCAACATAAAAGGTTACCATACTACTTTGTTATTCAATTACTAACATAAAAAAAGTTGTTTAGACTCTAAACAACATAAAAAAAGTTGTTTAGAGTCCTTATTCAAGTTGCCATGTTTTGATAAACATGACAACTTGAATAATGACTCAGGTAGTATATCATCACTGCATGTTTGGAAAGAAAGTATAATAAATAATGATTCGCCAGGTTGGCGTCAGATCAATGATGGATCTATGTGGAATGTTTCGATTTGAGATGTGTGCCAAACAGATATGTTGCAACGAAGCCAAATGACTGATCGTACAAGTTTATGCTATAATATGATTGTTTCTTCAATAACAAGGAATTTTATTTAGTGTCGAAGTTAAATTAAGAATCGGGATTCTCCAGATGTTTTATTATGTGCGAAAGGGGGAATCAAATGCCTATGAGAAAACACTGTTGATGGTTTCGAGGTCCGGATCTTAGATCATTCCTGATAATGGACGTTCAGACTTTGTACTGTACTATTATGATTTAAAACAGTTCTGCAGTTCAAAATATATGACTACTACCAACAATTGCGAAAATAAAGGCCAGGTAAAGACTTTAAGCCTGGTAAGTTGAGTGGATATATATATTTTTGGCACTGCCAACTGCAATAAAAAAAAGGAGGTGCATAACTAGATATTCTAACAGTGCCATAAAAAAAATTTCAATTTTTTATAGCTAATTGTTTTTGAGTTATGCACGATACATCACAAAAAACAAAAACAAAAAAGTTATCCTTTAAATGCATTTTACAATCCCTTCGGGTTTTAAAAAATGCTTTATTCAGCCCACACAAACAGATGTTCAAAAAAATAGTTAAAATGGATTCAGGAACAGTCACAAAGGATATTTCTGTTAAGATATGTTACGCAAAATGTTTCGCGATTACAGTACTTCCTTTACTTCATACAAGGAAGTAAAAATTAAGTACTACGGTACAAAGTCTTCAATCCGGACATCCATAATCCGGAATGATCTATAATCCGGACCTCAAAGCTACAAACTTTCTGCACATGTGTAGCGTATACGCATGCGCATAATACGTTTATGCATGCACGCTTAATGTATAACGGACGGTATAAGCTAGGCTAAAATTATCTTATTATCAATTTAGTTAATGTTGCAGATTGTGTTGTTCCTTAATCTTCTAATTGGATCCGGCTTATTATTTTTTGCAGACTGTTAGAGGAATTTTATAAAAAGTAAACTTGAACTTTCAATTATGTCAAAAAGAGTTTCCGATTCTGGAGCTGCCAAAGGATCTACAAAGCGAAAGCATGTTTCAATGTCCATCAACAAGCAAAAAATGAATAAAGGCATGAAGAAAGTGACAGAGAGGTTAGTGAAAACGAAAAAATTTCGATTGACAAGTTAGTCGGTATTCTCAGCACAGCAACTACAGGACTTGAACAGCGGAACTTTGCAACTGAACAAGAAATTATGTCTGTGTATAGAAGCAAAGAGAAAGTATTAGCACATAAAATGAAGCAACTTAAACAACTTACATTGAAAGAAATGTTTAATAAAGTAAACAAATTAATATTAAGCTTTTTTGTGTAAATTTTGATACCCTTTAGATCATAATTGCTCTTTATTTCATAAATTACAGTTTCATATTTTTAATTTTATAATTTCTGCATGCCATCTTACCAGATTTAAATTGATGATCTATAACCCGGAAAAACCCCTAATCTGAAATCGCTGAAGTTCCGACGAGTCTGGATTAAAGACTTTGTACTGTATTTACTTTTCATAAATATTTATTTTTTATTTTCAATATTTTATTGATATTCCTCTTCACATACTAGGATGGATTTAAATTATGAACTGTAATTCATCTAATAAAAAACACATGAACTTTAAAACAAAATCCCTTTTGTTTAATACAAAGATCTAAACAAAATTAAATAATATTTAGTCAGACTTTTTTTTTTTTTTTTTCCTTTAACTACAAGTTTTTTTTGTTTTTTTTTTAACTTGTAATGTCTAGATAACAACAGTTTGTATTGCACTAAATGAAAGCAAAGAAAGAAAAAAATTATTTTACACACTTTTTATAACATACACATGGATATTATATTCTGTTGCTGCACTAAAATAGAAATGCATTACATTAACAAAAGTTTCCACCTTATAACAACTACAATATACTAACTGCAAAATTCTCTTACATTTCATCAGTTACAGTAATACTTATGCTGTTTTATGGTATATAATTTGACCAACTACAGTACCCAATGCTGGCACTACACTTTTAGCTGCCTGGTGTAGTCTCTGCTTTTCCTAGATTCTCCCACCCACTGGCTCATAAATTTAAACATTTTTGCTGCCTTTAAAATCTGCCACTCAATGCACTGGCTCTGGCACTTGCCCTGACCAATATTAAATTCAGCAAATGGTGCAGATAAATGTATAATCCACCAGCCAAATTTTCAAACTGTGCCAAACTCTGGCAATCATCCTCAGTTTTATTAAGCAACATAACCATTTCTATATGCATTCTTATTGTCGTATTTGAAAAGTCAATATATTTTGGTCTTAAATTTATGTGCTTGTGGGATATGCTCGGGATATGCTTATGAAGGACAATATTTTGACTCGTACTTTGAATCCATTCTTAGACATCACAAATTTTCCAACAGTATGAAAGAAACAAAAATTTGTTTGTAAGTTTATTGGTTGATTTTCAGGACAAATACCTAATTAAAACATAAAATATGCATATATGTCATAAATAACTTTTTGCAATTATAAATTATCATTTTTCCCATCTGTAAAAAATTTTGAGATATTGCCAAAGTTTTTATATACCAAAATGGAGTATTGAAATATGAATTAATAATGTTGTATAAAAATTAAAATATTATTTCGCAACGATATATCACACTTTTCAGTTTTTTAAATTTCTGCAGTGAATGCAAACATATAAATAAGACTGCTTAAACTTAATGTTCTCAAATAGCAAAACTAAATCTTCTTTTGCTGCTAATTATCAACTGGATTTAGTCAATTTTAAAAGATCAGATGATAGTTTCCACTCTCCATTAGCAAATAAAAAGGAGAGAGGCCTGTTTTTGTTTTTCAAAATACAGTGAATATTTTGGTTTCAATATGAATACTAAATAAATATTCAAATTTGCAAACTATTAATAGCTAAAGAAAACACCTGTTTTGTATATTCTATTAATTTTGAAACTACAAATGAATCTTTTAAACAGTTCCAAAGAATTTTCACGAGGAAATAAGAGGAGATAATTGTTTTTGTACTTTAAATTAGTGAAGCTTTTCACTTTCATATGAATGCTAAAGACTGAATTATGGATTTTATTAAAAGTTAATACCTATTGTGTACATTCAACGAATTTTGAAACTCTAAATCTTAAATGCAGTTTCAAAACTAGTGAAACTTTCATTACTTATCAAAATTATTCCCATTAATCTTAATTTTCTGCTGTACTGAAAAAACAGCTGTAACAGGTTTCGAAAAATATAATTAACATCAGAAACAAAAATTTCCGGTTGTGTTTTTTAACTAGAAGTTGGTCACCATTTCAGCCGGTTGTGCACACCACATATAAAAGTCAATATAAGGCGTAAATGCAAGCAGAGTAAGTATACGGCGTACAGCACAGAGAAAGATTTTTTAAATAAATTCCCCACATCACCAAATTAATGATGTGGTAAAACAATCGTGTATATAAATTATACGTCCATGGATAATTTTAATTTATTCATGGATATTTTTTCCATAACACTCTATATTCTTCTCATATTATAAGGAGAAAATAAAATTTCGATTAACATGAAATACAATGAACGAATAAAAAACAGTTGAAAATGTATACTAATTACATATGCATATGCGCAGACACAAATTAATATGTTTTAAAGCAATAAAATCCCTTTTATTATCTTCAAATAAAATTGAAAATGTTTAATGCAGTTTTGTGGGATAACAGATGATCTGTAAATTAACATAAACACAGTTAAAATATATATTATATTAGGCTGAAATCATATCAGTCTTACCTTATAAGTACAGTTTCAGCTTTTGTTCAATGTCCAGAACACTGGCTTTATGGATAGTCTCTTATATCACTAAGGTTCAGGATTGTTTACGTTCGTAACTAGTATGGAGCGTCTCATAACAATCAATCGGCATACGAAAACCAACATCAACGAATCAAAATGGCGAATTACACTGATGCAGTCACGTGACAGGAGAAAAGAAATTTATATTCGATTGGCAACAAGAGGAAACTTTTTTAAAATTCGTCTGCTATTCTTTCGTTATTAGCTCTTTAGAAAGAATAAATTCAATAATATTAAATCGTTAACAAATTTGATAACACTTGAGAATTACTTAGAAACTTAAGTAATTCACTGCATTCGGAAATTTTAAATTATTATTGATAATTAATTTTGCACTATTAATAATGGTTTTCTTACGCTTTTAGTCATGATCCATTAAGACCTCAACGGATATTGGAATCTCATATTTTAACACCACCTTGAGATAGCTTTGCCCAAGACTGAGTTTTCCGAACAAAGATCTTTGAAGAAACCTTCCAATGAATTTCTTTTTACACATACACACACACAGATCGTATTTTATTCTCGAGTGTCAAGATGTAGAAACATCTTTTTACTCGACTTTTGATAAGAATCAGATAGCTCTTTATGTCATCTGTATTATATATGTCATTATATGTCATCTCAGCGAATGATATCTTTGTTCTCTTATGTTTAGCATATATATGTGTTCTCTAATATTATATTTGCAATGAAAAATGAAAAGTTAAAAAAGGAATACTACCAGTGTGAAAAGAGAAAGTAGAAAGAGCTACGTGCTGTGATATTCTGTAGAAGAGTATTCGACCTGTAGACACGGACAATGAAGGACGTGTGTGCGCGCAAAGCTGCTTCAAGAGCGTATATCCACCGTGATCTCAAAGCAGATACAATTCAAGATTATATTCGAAAACTTGCGAGAAATTTCTTCTATTCAGTTCTCACTCATCCTAACAACTGCATCAACTCTCTTAGATGTTCTCCATTTCACAGAGAGAAGCACAATTATCCATCTGACATTCTCCATCCTTAACATTTTTTACTCATACTAGATTCCTCGGTTCACTGATTTGTACCTGCGATCAGAAACTTACCTTTTTCATCGACTAATGGTGGTCACCTGACTTTTACTTTCGTCTTTTTGTTTCACCGATGTTCTTCATGTGATACAGAGTAAAAGAAGGAACTGCTTTCTGAAACTCAAATTCACTGTATGTTCTTAGTTATGAAGGACGTGTGTGTGCGCAAAGCTGCTTCAAGAGTTTCTGGGCTATCTAACAATCATGTGTTTATTCATTCTTCACTATTTCAAACTGTGCTGGCCTTTGAGATTTATCTTCTAGCTATGTATTTTTTGACATCGAAAGTGAATTTGGATAATGATTGTGAAAATGATATTGATATTTCGGACTGTGATATTGATTATACTCCCGCTAAAATGGATCAAGTTCTGACAGAATTATTAAACAAGAATATTATGATCAAGTGGATTTTTTTACCAAAGATTTAATCGAAGACCAATGTAAATGCCCTAAACTTTCAGAGGAATCTTCAGGACTCTATCGATTATATTCGAAATGTGTGTGATGACTTTCTAAGGAAAGCTCTCAAAAGGATAAGAGCCAGCACCAAGAGATATTGGATTTGCAAGTTACTGCCAAGCAAGACAGGATCAAATTATTGGAAGGTATGTTTGAAGTTTCTCGGGCCCATAATAAATTTATTGTAAACTCATGTGGTTGTATTCTTAAGGATGTTGCTAATTATGGTAAAAATTCGGATGTTGTTAGTTGTATTAAAATTTCCAGTGCTGCATGTATTAGAAAAATTCTGATGTTTATAAAAGGAGTAAAATTCAAAATGTTGGCTAGTTCTAGTAAAAATTTGGATGTATTTGTAAGTGCTCAAAACTCTAGTAATGCTAACTTTTACAAAATGAATCCAAATGCTGTGAAAAAGGGTTTGCCTAAAAATTCGAATAATACTAAGCGTAATCCCCAGCAAAAAACATGGGTCGGATAAAACACTGACCAATGACGGCTTCGTTTCCTCATTGAAAACAGCACACCCTACAAAAATCTTAAAAAAACAGTAATATTAATACTTCCTTGACTTCTAGTATTGCAAACACCAGAGAACTTGGTCTATGGTGAGCTGCCTCCATCGAAATGTAATTCGCTTGCATAGCAACGGTGTACTACAGATGTTACGGAATAGTGAATCATAGTGTTAAAATTATTAGATAGTAAAGTGCATAAAAAATTATATGCCAAGCTATCGAGCTAATGAATTAAATAGAAGATCCAACACATGTAACAGCATTCAGAGTAGGATGTAACAGCGTAGATACAAAACTAAGTGTGAGTTAATAAGGCATCTTATCAGTTGTAACCAAATACACAAAATTCACGAGAACCAAAGATTTACTGAATATCACTGTAAATTTATATTACCAATATAAAATAAACCAAACAAGGAAAATAATAAAGACGGAAAATGCACCAACAATAAAGTAAAGTATCATATAGAAAATAATTTAGTTATCTCCACGTGGATGTTGAATAAATCTTCGGTTGAAAATGACAAACAATTTATCTATATGTCTATGGGCTTATTATTCATCTAATTTACCTTTAATTGTTTGTAGGATGTCCAGAGTAGAAAAATCAGTAACTATTTTCTTGACCTCCGAGATCATACTGTAAAAGTCAGTAATGATATTGGAAATATTGTCACGACTGTTTCGTAATTTCTTCATTGAGAAATTAGATCTCTCAGCCAAATTAATTTTCTGTGATATTTCCATGGTATTTATTGCACTTTCAGATGCCTTGTGGGAGCTAGGAATTTTCTGAGTTTGCGTGCTGAAGTCAGTTGATATGATTTATGTAGTGAAGAAATAGATGCCTGACTATTTTGAAAAGATAAAATAGAATAGAATTTAGAGGATTTTCAGACATTCGTATAATTAGCTGCATGTTTCTCACTGCAATTACATCAGGTGGATTTGGAGACCTTCACCATCTGAGCTCTTGTGAGGCAATCAACACTTAATACACCTCGGATCGAATTTACACCCGTCCGAGAAGTGATAGAAATATTGACAATTATGATATGACGTTCTACAGCACCATTTAGCTTGTACGGTTCAACAGTTATACGTAAACACGAAATGTTCTCAAGTCCGTAAATTTTCTTCACCCCAGTCTGATTAACTAACTGAACATGAAACAAAGGCACAGGTATGCGGGGTCTAAATCTAATTATGGCAGCTACTTTTAGTACATTCAAACCAAGAGAGATAAGTTCGTCTTTAATTTTCTCTGAAGGGCAGTCCCAAGGGATTCCTCTCAACCCTACTTTTGCCGGTTTAACTTTTTAGGATTAACAATGCAATATTGAGCTTTTGTCTGAAGGAAGTGCCTGGTTAATACTCTATGGTCCTTTGGAGTATCAGAAAAGATTTTTAGAAAATCACCAGAAATTCTAGCCTTAAATATTGCTTTAGAAACTTTTTTTTTATTAAAGTGTAGAAACTTCAGAAAGGGAATAACCATGATAGGCTTAACTTTTCGTTTACTTGCATCCCCACTTTGTGAAGCCTCACTGCTTAGCTTAGTATTTACATAATTTGAAACATTGCTATCACTATCAACATTCATTTTTCCTAGTATAACAGATTTGTTACTAACATCAATGTCACTGAAATTCCTAACAATTTTCTGGGCCGAGCTGTTTTCTTAGAAGAAGTGAAATCACACAAGTTCTGAAAGTCCTTCTGAAAGTTCTTTGACACCTTATTATATTCAGCTACTTTCAAAATATTAGAGCAGAAGAATTATGCACATTACAGTTAGATTTTACAGCATTCGAATATGATAGCTTCCTAGAGGTCGACGCTACAGAACTACCATTTAACACACTAGTACCAGGCTTAAACAATACTATTAGTACAACATCTATTACTAAAAATATCTAGAACTCTAACTGGATTATCACCATCAGTATCCGTACCTAAGTGGTATTTAGCCCTAAAGAACTCACACTTACCTTGGTTAGCTGCAAATTGAGACTTCATCTCGTTAATCCTCGAGTAGGCATCATTTCAGTAAAGATCTGCATTCACATCCGGATATGGATCAAGGCTCAAAAATGCTTCGACAGCCATTGAAAAAAAGTTTGCATTGTTCACTAACTTCGAGGAAGTTTGTAGTACAAAGGTTTTCGCACACACAAAATAATTCTAGTTTTCGAATTTGTATGGCGTATTTTTCTGTGCATCGTATCTTTTGCTCGTCGACTGTATTTTTTAATGTAAATAATTAATATGCCCTTGGAGTTTCATACTAACCTTTTACCAATTAAATTTCCTGTAACTTTTATTTATATTTGTTTCACCAGCTTGACAGAATGCCTTTTAATGTTACGGAAGATTTGAAATCGTAAATTTATGTATTTTACAATAATTTTAGCATCACTTATTTCTGATACCCCCGGACATGTTACTTTTCAACTGGGGTTGGATCTCCGAATCCGTGTATCCTGGTGATGCAATACTATTATCCCGCACAGAATTTTGAAAAGAGCATGGTTTTATATCCAGAGCAGGTCAGAGGAGAAAATGGGATATGTGCATTTACTTTTAAGGGAGCCTCAAATTCTCCTATACTTTTTAAAATATGTGAAATAGTACGTCGTTTTTTTAGTTTTAGGTTTTAAGAATTTAAAGATACAAGGAGAACCACAAATCATTTTTCCAATGTTTGAAAGAAATCGAAATTTTTAATTCTGCATTTCATTGATGTATATGATTATTAAATTGATAAACTGTTTAATTGCATTAATTGGTAATATCTCTATAATTTCCCTAAAATTTATTGCAAAATCGATAAGAACACTTTAGGCTGTTCCTTTTTTCACTTTCTGTAGGGGAGGATGTAAGATCCTATTTTAAAATTAATCAGTTTATGCTTTATGCAACATATACTAAACCATAAAAACAAAACGTATTAAAAGATGAATGCTTTTATTTAAATAACTTTGGATGAAAAGTAATAAATTATAAAGTTATTTCACGAAATACTTTACGTGAA